TCTTATGTTGATTATTTCTGCAACGATAATACAAATTCTAATAAAGAAAATTTAATATTATAACGTTCAGATTTTAACATTCTTTTCATTCTAATGGAATTAATTTATTCTTCATGCGCAGTGATGATTCTGAAACTTAAAATTATTTGTAATATAAGTAGAACGTATAAGAATATTAAAATAATTGTTAAATAATCGATAGAARTATCGATTATTATTTAAAAGTACGGAATATATTTTCGAAGTACCTTCCTCTTCGAAATTCACTTATAGACTGAGCCGTTGTTCTCTATAACAAAACATTTATTAGAAAGTTGTTTATATGACTATTTTTTATGTTGAGCATGTGGACAACGGTTATAATAATTCTAATAAAGAAAATTCAAGACTATAACGTTCCGATTTGAACATTCTTTTCATTCTAATGTAATTAATTTATTGTTCATGAGCAGTGATGACTTCAGGGGGTAGAATTTTCATCTGCAAAAATATCATATGGAAAATATTTTCTATTCAAAGTATGTTAATGATAATTTAATATGATTAAACAAATTTATATATGTTTAAACAATCTAWAATATGAAGAGAATATATTAGAGTATTATAATAATTGTCAATTATTAGAAGAAAGTGTGTATTGTTTTTAAAAGAACGGAATATAGGTCAGGAGTACCGTCTTCTTCGAAATCAGCTGTTAAACTAGGTCATTGTCCTCTATGAAGGTTTCTTTCATTCAATGTTGTTGATATGATTTTCCGAACGTTGCGCATGTGCCTAACTAAAATAATCAACCTAATTAATAGAATTTAAGATGAAAACGTTCTGATTTGTATTTATTTGCATTTTTATGTAATTATTTTATCGCTCATGCGCAGTGATAACTTTGAGGAGTAGATTTTTCATCTGCAAGAATATTACATGGAAGTTATTAATTAGGAAGTTAAAAAGAAACTAATTACAATTATAATATTGATGGTTTAAGCGGTCTTCGGCTGGATTTCCCTTGCAATGGAATGTAAAACATATAAAAATATGTTAAACATTACATTGAAAGTAAAATACCACTGTCCGGGTCTAACCTCGTGGAGGTAACCGCTTCTGAAGACCCACGAGGGATGTGCATCCTAAAGATGCTCACATCTGAATATAATTCAAAGCAATAAATCTATCTCTTAGGCCCCACCATAAGAGTACCATCCGAAAAATCGTTAAAATTATTATCGAAAATACTAGAGAAAAATTATAATTCTAATAAAGAAAATTCAAGATTCTAACGTTCTGATTTTAAAATTCTTTTTATTCTAATGTAAATAATTTATTGTTGATGCGCAGTAATGAAATTCCAAGTGTTAAATTATTTGTAATATAAGAATATAATATAAGGGTGTATTAGAATATTAAAATAATTGTTAAATAATGGATAGAAGTATCGAATATTGCTTAAAAGTACGGAATATTTTTTCAGAGTACCTTCCTCTTCGAAATTCACTTAAAGACTGTGCCGTTGTTCTCTATAACAAAACAATAATTACAAAGTTGTTTATATGACTTCATATATGTTGATCATGTGTGCAACGGTGACAATAATTCCAATAACAAAAATTCGAGATTATAACGTTTGGATTTTAATATTCCTTTCATTCTAATATAATTAATTTATTGTTCATGAGCAGTGATAACTTCGAGTATTAAATTATGCTGTAATATAAGAAAGGTGTATTAGAATATAAAAATAATTGGTAATTAATGGATAGAAGCATCGATTATTGTTTAAAAGTACGGAATATATTTTCGGAGTACCTTCCTCTTCGAAATTCACTTAAAAACTGTGCCGTTGTTCTCTATAACAAAACATTAATTAGAAAGTTGTTTATGTTTTTGTTTTTTATGTCGAGAATGTGTCCAACGGTACTTATAATTCTAATAAAGAAAATTTAATATTATAACGTTTGTATCTTAACATTCTTTTCATTCTAATATAATTATTTTATCATACCTGTGCAGTGATGAGTTCGAGAGTTATATAGTCCTGTAATTTAAGTAGGATGTCTTAGAGTTTAAAATAATAGTTAATTATTAAAAGAAAGATATATTATTGTTGAAAAGTAAAATTTTAAAAACGAATTTTTAGTTTTAATTTGGTCATTACGTGTCCAAGAAGATCCACCTACTAGCTACGCTGTGAAATAAACTCCGTTACGTTTCATTTGTGGTTAGTTCATCGTCTCGACTGTAGCAGGTAAAATTAAAAGATAATATATATAAAATAATATTTTTAATATTTATAATATATATATATTTTTTTAAATATTAAATAATATGGGCACAGGTATTAAATAAAAATTTCGTATTTTTATAATTTTATTTCATACATTTATTTTATAATCATTTAACAGGAAATTACCATAATGAAATGGCACGACAGATGCGATAAAAGCTTTGACTTAGGATGCAAAGAAAAGAATAGTATCTAAAGAAAACAAAACAATATTTTAAACCCTCGAGAATACCACGCAATGTTTCAAATAAGTAATTATATATCTCTATTGTCTTTTTTTTATGTATTATTTTCATTTTTCGTTATAAAATTATTCGTTAATAATATTTGTTAAATATATTGTAGATTATACATATAGTATACTATATAGTTGTACTGGTATTAGTTATACTATTGGATTGTTATATATATTATTCGTTTCATCTTTCCTTTACACACACAAATATAATTTTTAAAATTTTATTACATTTTCTTTTTTAAATAGGAAAAACGGAACAAATATATGTTACAATCAATTTCACATTTTTTTAAACGTTATTTAAAAATAAATTCGATTACAGAGGGTTTACTCGTAGTTCATAAAGAAAAATAAAACAAGAAATTATGCCATAAGAATAAACAATAAAATAATTATTGCATTTGGCATGCCATACTTAAAAGCTATCGAATAAAACAAGCGAACGAAATAAATAATAATAGATAGATAATTAAATTGAATAATTAAATCGCCACGGGAGTGATTGAATAAAAGGAGCGAAAAATAGCAATGGATTGAACACAGAGTTAATTGAACAAGAAATAATAAAGAAACAAACAATTTGGATAATTTAAAAAGATTTTCAAATGAATCCTTCGTAAAAATTGTGCATTAATTTATAAGATCTATTTTGTATATTTATATCATTTTCTTCGTGACTTAATTAAATAATCTTACGAATAATATCTACTCTCACATAAGTTATTATAGTTGTTAATAACATTTTCGAGTATTTGACTTGGTTTCATACATTTCTTTCTTATTTTTCTGTCATCATATTCAGAACACATCTGTTCTGAAGTTTCATATATTTCCAAAAAAAAACAAAAAACAAAAGAGAATAAAAATTGGCAAGGTTTCAGATACGCACACACACATATATATGTATATGCATAATGTATAAATATATATGTGCATATTTATAATAGATATATACAAATTTAGAAAGAAATAGAAAGAAATAATAATTATTATTTACAATTGTTCACGAGAATAACGTATCGATCTCTCAGATCTCGATTTGGATCAAAGATCCAGTAAAGTTTGCTCATGATCCTCAATAAACGAATAATGGAAGAATAATAGTAAATTTTAAACCAATAAGTTGCCATCTTGACAAGCTGGTCCTTTGCTAGGCCAATTGCATGCCTCAGCGTTGTTATCGAATGTCAAGAATACTGGACAATTGAACACATGAAGAGTAAATCTTTTCTTCCATTCGTCCCAGTGACAAGCATAGAACTTGTTACATGAATTAGGATGTCTGAAAAGACCAGGTCTGGCACAATCATTGGGACCTTCTAGAATTTCTTCAGATTCCTCAAGACTTTTCGGAACAAAGTTATAGTTGTTTGATTCACCTACTGAATTGGTACTCGAATCACTTTGTTCCAATTTCTTTCCTGATCTTTCACTTGGAATAAAACTGCGAGTAACTGAAGTAGATACACTCGGTAAATAGGTGGAACCAGGAGATGCACTTTTATCAGTGCTTGCAGTGATAGCTTTATTTTCAATTTTGAAAGGTCTCGGTGAGGAAGATCCATAATTGGTAACGTAATCGTATTCACCAGAGTCATCATTTTCAAGATCAACGTATACATCTGATTCATCATAATTGGCAAGATCTATTTGACCCTTAGATGAGTTTATTAAATTTTTACCAGGACCACGAAGTGTTCCGAAAGGATCAGCTTTACAAGTACATTCCGCACCAAGTTTGCTGATAAGCAATGGATGCAGATCACTCCATTTAACGATAACTTTACCTTTACTTTGTACAGCAGTTGTTTGCGTGCTTATCTCGTAAGATGGTGTTACAGATGACGATTTGCTATAACCACCTGAATACGTCGTTATAATCGGTGTACTTTCAGTTCTCGTTGATCCAACGTAAGTTTGACCAGCTGAAGTTGAGTAGGATGATTGTTTTCTGCTTGTTGATCCTCTGTAAGTTGATCCTGTAGAACTTGTACTATCGATTCCAGTATAAGTGTCATATTTGTTAGGAACATATTTAACCGTTCCTCTGTTGTAATTATTGACAAGGGTCTCTACTTTATCAAGTGAGATATCTAAATTCATTGGTGATTCACCGAAAGTAGTACTCGATCCAAATGATGTCTTAGTTTTCGTATCGTAATCTTGACTAGATGATGTATCACCAATCACTGAAATAGATTTTGGAGTAGACTGATCATAAATTGTACTAGATAATGAGAATGGTTTCGTGTAGATTACTCCGATTGGTGATGAAGGTGTCGTTGACGATGACTGAAACAAGAACAAACATTTTCGTTATACATTATTAACATTTATATTTATAAAATAATTTAATTATAAATCGAACCTGTACACTTTCCGTAGATTGCTGATGAATTATTGTAGAGGGTGTGACATTTACTCCAAATGGTATCTTTCCTTTTGTATAAGTGTATCCATTAAAACCATTTGAAACGGATCCTGTAGTGCTACTAGGAACGTATTGTATCTAAGAAATAATAAAATTATTAATATAATGTGATGATAATAAATTCAATGGGTCGAGTAAAAAATTTACCTCTGGTTGCGATGTTACAGTCGGTTGATTATAAGTTCCAAATATTGTTGATGGTCTTGACTTTTCCGAAACATATCCAGATGATATAGAAACTGAAGGTAAAGAAGTGGTAACAGGGATGTGACCTGTTTGATTATATAAACCAGTTGATTGGAATGAACCCCCACTTTCATAAACAGATTGGGCATGCGTGGAAAGAGATCCAGTGTTAAAACGATTATCCTTATAAGTGTATGTTGTTCCTGATGAACTAATTGGGATAGGTGTTGAAGAAATGATAGTTTTGTAACCATTATCGAATACTGGTTGAACCATAGATACAGAAACTGGAATTTTAGCTGCTTCGAAAACTGTTGTTCTATAGTTTTCAATTGGTCCAGTTGTGTAAAGTCCTGAGGAAACAGTTGGTGTTGGTTGCCTTTGTTTAACAAATCCTGTTGGAATTTGTCCAGTTACATAACTTGGTTTATTGTACGTGTCATCTGTGATAGATACAGGTGTTACTCTTGCAGAATCTATGGTCGATGGTGTTTGATAAATTCCAACATCTAAATAAGAAGGTGTCGTCACTGCATAAGATCCTTCACTAGTCGTGGAAGATTTTATACCACCGGTATTATCGTAAATATTTGATACTGAATGAGATGGTCCTAAAGTGATTTTAGATGTATCGACGTGTGTAGCATCTGGTGCTTCAGTTGATGTAATTACATTTGAATGAATCTTAGACGTTTTCGTATACCCAGCAACATTTCCATCAAAAGCATTTTCTCCAATTTTATCATAATTTATTGCAGGACGTTGTCCAGTACTGGTAGTGTAAGATCCTCTACCACCTAAGGTTGCAGTTACATATCCCGTTCTTGTTGGTCCTGTTTTTGTAAATCCATCTTGAGTAAATGTATTAGATTTAGTAGAAGAGTATCCCGAAGAACCTGTTTGACTGTAAATTCCATCGAATCTGCCTCCAGGCACAGAATTGTCGGGAAGCGTACCAATCGATGTTCTGTAATCTTTAAGATCACTTTCAGTGTATTTAGTGGTAACAAGACCATTATTAAATTTGATGGTACCACGTCCTCCGTTATCATGGTATTCATTTATCTTATAACTTGTTCTTTCAGTGGTTGAAGGAGTCACCTGTCCTACATTACTCGAACCTTTGTTACTATAAATTGATGATTCAGAACCGGTATAATAATAATTTCCACCAACAGTAGTACCTTCTTGAACATTTCCACCTACTACAACACCACTAGAAGTTTGGCCAGTTAAATGAATACTCGGGCTACTCTGTCCCTGCAAGATTACACCAGAAGTAGGAGTTCCACCCAATGAAACTCCTGAAGAAACTGATCCGTGCAACAAAGTTCCTGGACTAGATGATTCAGAATAAATAGTTTTAACTCCATCACTAACAACATACCCAGGAGAACCAGTTTGTGTTTTAACATATCCTGGTTGACTACTTCCAGTGATAACAGTTCCTTGTTGAGCTGATCCTGTTGAAATTGATCCAGATATATCTCCTTGAGTAATAACAGATCCAGAAGAAGAATCGTCAGTGATTATAGCTCCTTCAACATTGTTACCAGTAATGATAGTGCCAGTACTTGTTTGTCCAAGATTATAACCATTAGTATAACCAGTGTGTTGATAAAATTTATTAGGTATAGGCGTAGTATTATCAAGTACTAATGTAATATTTAAATTACTTCCTGAAACACCATCGTATTTATTAAATCCATCTTTACGGAAAACGCTTGTTGCACCAGTACCATCAGTATAAGTTGTTTTGATTCCAGATTGGCTAGAATATATAGGACCACCAGATACTGCATGATCAGTAATGTATGTACCTGTCTGGCCTTGATAATTTGTAAATACTGATGATGTTGAACCCGAACCAATTTTTCCACCACTGTAGCTTCCACTAACAGTATCCGTTACTGAACTACCTCCTGTAACACCACTTGTATAATATGGTGATTCCCCAGGTATAATTTGTACTGGTATAGTATAACCAGGTAATTCAGAATCTTTAGATTTTTCAAAATAATGAGTACTGCTACCCGTATGGCCTTGTGCCAATGTAGATGTCGTATCGTAACTTCCACCTTGTAATACTCCTGGTACAACTTTTCCACCTACTATCGATTTATCAGGATAATTTGAACCAATTGACGTTGATCCTGTAAATGCAGTGCTAGAACCTCCAAAGTGTCCCGCATTAAATGAGCTAGTATATTTTGTTTTCATTGACAAATCTGATCCAGTATATCCAGATCCTGTAGATCCTGCGTAATCAATCGTTCCAGCATGTCCAATTCCAGTAGAAGATCCAGAAATAGAAGGTCTTTGCGAATATCCTGTATTCGAAGAATCAGTATAGCTACTTCCAGATGATCCTGTGTATCCACCTGTTTGTGTCAATGTTCCTTTAGTTACTCCTGAATACAATGTACTGTCGGAATATCCATTAGATCCTTTCTGTTCGTTATAATCTTCAGTATAATCACCTATCGGTCCTTTATATCCAAAACCAGAATCAATATCTCCCCCTATATAATCAGGACTAGATGATTCAGAGTATTCATTAGTATTTCCTAAACCTCCCGTATATTGGGAACCTGATAATCCATTGGTCGATACGGTATATACACCATTAATAGATCCTGCAGATCCACCACCAGTTTGAATGGTGTTACTAGAGCCTTGATAAGGAACACGTGTTCCTTGCGAATATCCTGATCCAAATGAAGTTTGACCATTCGATTGTGAATACGTTTTAGTGCTCGATGAATCACTGCTAGTTTTCGTATATCCTGATCCTGCATGAATACCAGTTGTTGAACCCCGATATACACTATTTGATCCTAACGATCCTGAATATCTAGATCCATCAGTATCTGTTTGAATTCCAATATATCCTGTGCCAGTTGAACCTTTATATCCATCTGATACACTTCCAGTATAATGTCCACCAATTTCATGTGAACCAGTAATTGATCCATATCCCGTAGTACTACCAGTACCTGATCCAGTTGAACCTTTAAATCCATCTGATACACTTCCAGAATAATGTCCACCAATTTCATGTGAACCAGTAATTGATCCATATCCCGTAGTACTACCAGTACCTGATCCAGTTGAAAATCCTCCAGTTACTTCCGAGTAACCTGATTGCCCAATACCGTGTCCAATTGATGAACCAGTAAATCGTGTACCAGATGAACCCGTAAATCGTGTACCAGATGAACCCGTAAATCGTGTACCAGATGAACCCGTAAATCNGTAAATCGTGTACCAGATGAACCCGTAAATCGTGTACCAGATGAACCCGTAAATCGTGTACCAGATGAACCCGTAAATCTTGTATCAGATGAACCGGTAAATGCATTAGCACCAGTTTGGTAATAACCTGCTCCTGTTGTTCCAGAAAATCCATCGGGTATTCCACCGGTAACAAATCTACCTGAACCTTGAGTAGATCCGCTACTAGCATGAATGTCATATTCGCTTCTTGTATAACCAGATCCAGTACTTGAGCAACTTGGTACCAACCAAGGCCACTCGCAAACTAATTTTTCTTGATCGAATACCAATTCATAAGGACAACGAAATTCAAATGCCACCATTTCTGGACCACCTGTTATAAAGTTCTCGTATAAGTATATATACAACAAGTGTATTGTTTAAATAGAAATACATAAAAAAAAAGATTTGCCATACCTAAATCCATACAAGCAAAGAACCAACGACAATTTCGTGGATCGGCATAATATCCTGGTTTAGGTGGACACTGAAATCTAATTTGAGGAGCAGGTGCAACTTCGCTACTTCCGGGACATGGAGATCCTTGAGACAAAGATCCTGGCCAAACACAAACTTCTGTTCTCTCGTCGAATGCCAAACCAGCTGGACAATCAAATTCAAAGACCGAATAATTTTCTATGGCTTGATTGAACTTGACACATCGATAAAATCTGTGAAAAAGAATTATTTCAAATTTTATATAATTTATACTTGTTGGTATATCAAATTTTTAATTTGAATAAAACTTGATTACCTATTGCAACTTTTTGGATGTACAAAGAAACCTTGCCTTACACAAGGAAATTCAGTTTGGGTATTTTCACGTACTGCACGAATGTGTCCTTCGGTATCAACTACTCTAACCACTCTGTATAATGATGATTTGACTTTATTTGGATATGTAATTTTTGCTTGCTAAAAAATAAAAAATAAATTAATAATAAATTGACAAATAAATATCGAAAGATTAAACAAAAATATTTCATGAAAAAATAATATAATTTTTATCATAAATTATATATATAATAATAATAATAATAATAATAATAATAATAATAATAATAATAATACTATAATTTATAATAATATATAATATTAAATTAAATTATTTTTATATTTAAATTTAAATTTTTATATATAATAATTGTTTATATACATTTATAAATTATATAATATTATAATAAATAATATTTACATGAAGATCATCTTCTAACGAAGTGAAAACATCATGTGCCGATCTTTTCTTTAAATTTCTAAATGACCGATAAACATCATGAGTTATCGGTTCACCACAATCACTTTTTAAATCATTTTCTATATCCCAAATACCCAAACCAGCAAGTCCACGTAGAATTACATATTTTCCCTATCAACAAAATCAATTAATATTAAATAACATATGAAAATTAGACAAAGAAATAAAGAAGATAAATTATAATTCACATGGTGATGATTATACTTTAATGCGTGCTGAAATTTTATCTTCGAATGCTATCCATGTTTTATTTTTAAATGCATAAGGTGCCGTTAAATCCTCGTCTCTTTCAATCGTCCATTCTTCATCATCCATTGATTCACAAAACTAGAAATGTTAAGTGACAAATATTTCAACCTACTTTTTATTATGTTAAACACTATGATCATCGTAATATATTTAAATTCAATGCAAATTTTATTCTTCATCTTTTTGTATTTTTTTTTTTCTTACCTCTTTTCGATCGATGACAGTTGGGAATTTGTCTTCGGTATTTGACCTTGGTGCATTTTCAGTCTCATTTTTTAAATTAAATTTGTAAGCACTTGCTGGCATAGAAATCAATAACTTGTTTTTAGGTGCACCTAATCCGCTTATGAGATCAACCAAGCTGTCCGTGTTGAGCATATCGAATAGACCGATCATACGTGAAGGATGGAAAGTATAATAAACTTCATCGTCATCTGTTAGGTAATGAGTTGCAATCGTAAATAGATCCACGTATCTATTTATGGTAAAAAGAAATATCAATTAGATTGTGCATTTGACATTTTACTTATACAGGGTGATACCAACTTTTGATATGAGCTGGTGTATGAAAGGTTTTAGAAAAATTTATTAAGAATACAGTTGCATGAATTTTTAATTGAATTTTTCATTAGATGTTACAATGATGAAATGATTTGAAAATTGGATTAATAAAAAAACAATGAATTAATAAAGATTGATATATGTAAGGTATTCGTGTCATCGAGATCACCTGACCTCGTTTTAAAGAATGTACAGTACACATGAATTAGTTTACATTCGTAATATTATTCCAAATAAGTTTCTAAACTCATTCATATTCAATCAATACTCCGAATAGTCAGATTGTCTCACATAAATGTGTGATATGGATTATCATCATTATCATCATGATCATCATTATCATTCACGTATGATTCAATCAAATGAACAACGAGTGTAAGTATACTTAAAATGATCCTAGCGTACGAGAGTAATTGTTCAAGTGTTACAAGGATAAAGTTATCTATCAGAATGTTCAATAATAATTTTTTTTTTTTGTAACTACTGTTTACTTTACATTTATCTAATAGGATTTTTCAGATTGCATGATAACGAACATGGATATTAAATAAAAAAGAAAAATAATGATAAATATTATTAAAAGAATGTATCTTACTTTGAAAGTTGTTTTAGATCAAATTGTTTAGCTAAATCTTCTGGTTTCGTTGGTAATGCCATAAGTATCCTTTTGTCGATAGATTTTCGTACCATTTCATCTTTGAGACCCTTCACGAAATGATAAAGACGTTCTTTCGAACCAGCTGTTACATTTAATTCAACACCATCAACCTTAAAATAATACACAAATTATATTATTTATAAATAGTGCATATAATATTAATTTTGTAATTTGTTCGTAATCATTAAAATAATTAAATGTTGCACCTAAAAATTGATAACACTTTAATTAAAAATTTTAATTAATAATTTATATTTTGATGTCAATTTTTATTATTTATTTTAATTAATAATTAATTTGATAAATATTAAAATAATAAATAATTATAATATTTGTGAAGCAAAGTAACAAATGATTTGATTACAAATCTGTTCTCAAATTTATTATACTACTACGTCACCAATTACGTCAACAACCTGTTTTTTATTAAAAAAAGAAAGTTCATATTATCTACCTATGAAGTATTTATATATTAAATTATTGATTAAAATCTCAGAAAATGACTTACCTCATTTAAAATGTTAATCAAACGGGCAACCGTTGTCTGACGAATCGTACCGGAAGTTTTAAGAATTCCTGCTGGATCGTTAATTGAAATGACGAATTGAATCGGTGGATTCACTTCTTTCAAATCCTCGCTAAATTCTAGAAAATCTAAATAAAACATGTAAATAATTAATTTTGTTTTGATAGAATGTTCAGTAAAACGAATGGAAAAAAATTAAAATCTGACAAGACGATCATTTAATTAAATAAAAAATATTTAATCGACAGGTACAATGTATTGTTAATTAATGACGATTAAAAAAATATTTTTGAAATATATTTATACATTAATCAAATGCATTTTTCAATTGATCTAAAAATTACACGTTTATAAAATTAACTTTAATTTTCATCACAGATTCATAACTTGAATTTGACCTTTCTATTATTAATTGTAAAAAAAAGAAAATTCATATTTTTTTAAAAATATCATGTTAGTTGAAAAGGTAGAAAAGTCATGGTAAACTTGGTGTAATAATTTTTATAAAATTGCATCGCATATTTCACTTTATAATAATATAAGGACTATATAGTCAACTAATTGATGCATACATTGGTAGTGTTCAAGGTAGACGATTAGATAGTTAGAAGGTTGTAATTATTTTCTCGTCGCAAAATCGAGAGGAACGTAGAAAGAAGAAAGTAGTAGACACTTTTAATCATACATTTTTTGTAATAATAAAAGTTTACATCTCGTACAATCTCTTTTCAACGGAAGTCGAAAGTATTATGGGTGGTAATCTCAAATTGACGATTATTATAAATATATTTTTTGTTGGTTTGTTTGTAAAGTTTCGTTAATCACTTTTAGTATAATCATAATATTATTACAAAATCTTTAAACAATTTCTTCAACGTTGAATAATAAATTAGATCATGCAAATTAATTAAATATATTTTATTTATTATTTTTTATTAAATCATATTAATCACTTTTATTATATTCATAATATTATTACAAAATTATTAAACAAATAAAACAAAATTTTCAATGTGCAAAAATAAATTAAATTATGTAAAATAATAAAATATATTTTATTTATTATTTTTTATTAAATTTTTTTTATTAAATCATATTATTATTATTATTATATCTAGGATTAGAAGAATTCTTGGTATGAAAATCAATTTAACGACTAATAAGGAATTTTATTTCTATTTTTTTTTTTTATATTATACCAACAATGCGTCAAAGTTCACTGCATAATTACATCATCGTAATGATCATTCTTCAAGTTACTTACAATTGGATTACAATAAAAAAACTCATTGCAATAATGATAATCCTATTTATTTGAAATGTAACCAGCTTATGAGTAAGCAAACATAATTGTATTCTTCGTAAATGTACAAACAAAAATTTTAATAATTTATATCTTGTTATATTTCATAATTTAAAAAGATTCTTGTGAATTTTAAGTTTGATCGGAATATAGATCATCGATTTATCATTCATGCGAATGAAGTTTTACGTAATTTTTATGGGTTCGGTTAAACCGGAACAGGGAAAGTAATACTTCTTTCTCTTTTTTTTTTTTAATCTGAATCATCCAACAAAGAAAAAATGGACCACTTTCGTGGTTTCAAACATTTAATCAACCACACCCTTATATAATAAACACCCACGTGTTTCAACACTTTCGAGATCGAATGTCTTATTGACCTAGAAAAAGATTCAAAAAATTCTTAAAAAAGAAAAAAAAGTTCTTCCTACATTTTTAAGGTTTCTGCTGTATTCTGCTGTATAGATTCTCATGTTCGCATAATCTCATGTCCTATACATTCGTTTTTTTTTCTTACCTTTCTACTCACCATCAGAATTTTTTTTTCAATGAGATAGCAATTTTATTCTCATCAATTTTCGTTCAAACCTGAAGGGGTCTTAAGTATCACAATTTTTTTTCATAAAACACTAATATCAGATAAAATATTATTCATAAATTATTTTTATATTTATTTATTATAATAATTATAATAATAAATATTAAGTATATTTATTTACCAAAATTTTTAATGATATTATTATAATTATTATTATTATCGATAATATTTAACGAGACTTTATTCGATCTCATAAAAAAGATTTAAAATTAATTAATTTCGATAAGTACCATCATCTGATGATAATATAAGTATTTGATATATATATTTACAAATTTATATTTTTACGAAAAGTTGTACTAAACTGTATCAAAAGAAAGAAAGATAGAGATAAGGTAAAAAAATTCTGATGGTCATCTTACGAGAAGATCAAATTATGTGAGTGATTTTTTGTTAGGTATATTGTTAAACCACGCGTGTTGAGAAACACGAGATGATGTTTTGCGATCTGTAACATCATGTCATCTTTTCATTGAAAATAAAATATATATATTTATAAAATGTAGAAACACGAGAGAAGGATGATATCTTGCGATCTCTAACATCGTATCATCATTTCCTTGAAAATATAATATATATTTATAAAATCTATAGAAAACAACAAATGTAAATGATTGGAAGTATGCCTTACTTTGATTGATTTAAATTATACAACCATGGAATTTAAATTCCGATATTAATCTACTTTTATAAATATAATTACAAAAAATGCTAATATTATATTGAAATCCTGAATTATTCATGTAACTTTTTCCTTATCCACTTTTCTACTACTATCATACTTTCGGAGGTATTTAGGTGGCAAGAGCTGATGAATCACCCTGTATATGTATATACAGATACAAAGGTTAGCAATGTGTAACTTATGCAGTCTCTTGTTGCAAGTGCAAGGACACGAATACCACCCGATGGTTTCAAATACGGTCTGGATCGTTTATGCAATTCTTTGAAGTCGTCGCATAAGCAAGCGCAACGACACTCTAACGTCATCATGCTACCTATCATGGTTAGAAAGAATTTCCAGTAAAGTATTCTCTCGATTTCTCATTTATTTCGCCATCTTATTTCTGTTTTTTTCTTCTTCTTCCATTTTCCTATTTCTTTTTCTATCTATTTATCTATCCAAGACGATTTGGTGTGCTATTTTAATCGACCATGATATCAAGGACATCAAGAATTTACTATTAACAATTTCAACTTCGAACTTTAATCTATAATACTATTATATTTTTAACGTAAATGTAAAAATTGAATTCATTGAAAATTACTCGTTAGATTAGATCAAGTTAATGAATCATAGAACACACCGTTATGGTTGTATCCTGAACGTGGGTGTCTGGTCATTGAATTTTGCAAGAATATTCTCTATGAGTAATCGTTTTGTACTCTCGATTCAATTCACGTACATAAATAACTTTTTTATTATGTTAATACGGTAACATTAAGCTTGTTGTATTGTGTATTCGTCATAAATAGAATTTTGAAATATGTTCTTTTTTTTTTTCAATGACTTACCAGTAATTGAAAGATTTTGTATGTCGTGTCCTAGATGTACCAAAGTGGTGCACCTACAGATCGAATCTCCGATTAAACTCACGTCATTTTTCGAAGTATAACAAATAACTTCTCTCCCTGGTGAAGTTTTTGTTCGACATTCTAGAGAAACAGAAAAAAAAATGTAAATAAATTGATACAAGTTTCATATTGTTTTTGTTTTGTTTTTTTTTTGTTCTCTTTCTTTCGTGTAAAGTTAACATTTACATTTTCAATACTCTACTACCATTATTATTATTGTTATTTTTATTCTAAGAATAGATATGAACGAACAACTAAAAATATTCGTTTCATATGTCTTCTTTCATCTTCATATCAATTTGAAACGAACTAACTAACACAAAGTGACGATTACAAAGGTATCCGTCAAACACGTTTCACTGTCGTTGACATCATCGATGATTGCACTATACGAGTAGAAACGTTTATAATAGTCGTTTACATAGAACCTAACAAACCTGTTGTAGAACGTAGACTATGTAAAGTTGAAGAAAGAAAAAAAAATAGTCAATAAAATTTAAAAAATGAAAGAGAGATAGACAGAGAAAGAGAAACACACTTGTATAAGGTGCATATTTATTGCTACTTAGAAACGTAGACAGTTCGCTATTCTTATAAACTGTTGTTGTTGCCGGATATGTTGATTTTTACCAATGTAGAAAATAACTTTGTCACTTATCGTTAGTTTGTTATCTTGAAATCTTGTTATAAAATCGATTCACATGATCCAACTGTTAATTATAAGCGATTCTTTTTAAAGTTATGTTACGTTAGGTATATTATCGTACAATAAATTTTAATTAAAAGTGGATAATATAGTTGGGAAAAGACAAATATACAAATAGTACAACAACAAATGAACAAACAAATAACAAAATAATGGCAAACCTGAAATGTTTTCTTTGATAAATGAGAGACAATGGGGATTTACGCTTGATAGTTATGTCTTCAACGTAACTATTCCGCGATTTATCATAAACGGACGGGTAATGGCGCGAAAAGAGATTCATTATTAAATAAGCGATACAATGCGTTTTGTTAGATTGTTAACGGTTAGCGATCTCACGTTGTTACTTGATCAGTATGATAGTTGGATAAATCATTCTTACTCTAAGTGAAAGTTTTCTTTATATACGTGATTCTTTCTCTTTGAATCATTTTAATGACTCATACGATGGTAGCACTTGATTTTTTTTTCCTTTTTTGAAAACGAAAGTATTCAATCTATCCTTCGTCATCTCATTACGATGTTTGTTTTTTTTTGTCAACTACTTCAAATACTTCGTGTGAGTTGAATTTGTTCAATTATCTCAAAATTTCATTTTAAAACGAAACAAAAATGTATAATTCATGAGAATGAATAAATTAGAATGTAAAGGATATTTTTCTTTTTTTCATTATTATAAAAAAATCCTTTGCAAAAAAAATGTAGATATACATTATCATCAAATTATAGTTGATGATATTTTTTTAAACTTTTAAAATTACTTTTAAACGAGACATATCAATTTTTGAAGAATATTATTCTCTTATGTTCATTTTGTATTTTATTTTTAATTTTTATTTTTTTATTTTTAGATAAATTTTGTTCGTTCTCATAGATGTTATCGGTTTTCTTTAATGGCCACGGTTGACCATTGCAAGCGCATCGATTACGTAATTGGGTATCGTCCTTGTGTCAGACAGCGTGCTCCAATTGTACGATGGCGTAACCTAACCTCAAAGATGAGTACGATAGATCGTCGTAGATAAAACGATTAACGTTTTCTTTTGGATCTTTTTGTTTTGGCATTCATTAAAAGATCTTATTTAAAGAAAGAAAGAGAAAATGGTTCCATTCATTGATCTTACAAGAGTAAAACAATGACAGGAAAGTCATTTAAAGTCTAATTTTAAAAAGATGGCAACTTTATAGTTACTCGAACAGACCAATTAGAAACTTCTGATCAATTTCAAAGTAAACAAGTTTTTTTCTTTGAAACAATATTTATTTAAAATTATTTTTGTATCGATTTCAATCATTTCTTCGTCATAATAATGATGAAATTATTAAAACATTATTATCATTGAACAAAAATAAATAATATAAATAAAATATATATAAAAACTTACTCGTATTAAATCCATGAGAAAAAGAAGTGAAACATGAAAGGATGACCAATAGGATCAATCGTGTTGTCATCCTATCAATAGCCGGATCCATTTTTAATTCCTGCTATTTGAATCGATCCTTAGTAGAGAATCCTTTCTCGTGTAATACTGGAAATTGAAGAAACAAACACTCGTAATGTCGTTTATCTTCGTGATCATTGAGATCAAAGGACTAACGTCTCAATATTTTAATATTAAAATTAATTATCCTTAATTATTTTTTTAATTTTATTTCTTTTCTCTCTTTAATTTTTTTTTCAAAAAGATCCCCCGTTTTTGAAGAGAGGAATAAAATTTCTCTTTAAGGAGGAGGAAGAAGGTTCCTTCGAGTTCGAACGCGCGTTTCGTACTGAACCCTCGGAGGACTCGTGCTGTCTCTTAGTAAACCCTACCGATCGTTGTGTCCGGATGGTAGCAATCCGAGGACCAACAGAATCGGTTCAGGGAAAACCAAAGAGAAAGAGAGAGAGAGACAAAGAAAGAGGCCGTACAGAGGCCAACGGGACCCCAACAGATCACACTCAAGATCATGGGGTGGGGTACTGGACTGGCCCAGTTCGAAACACTTTCCGTATTACATATGTGTGTGTGTGCTGTTAGTGTAAGTGTACGATTCTTCTCTTGAGTTAAAAATAAGTGAACTCTTATGATCGTTTTATTACAAGGCTTCTGATTCATAAATTCCAAGAGAATATTTTTAATATTTTTATTTATTCGTAAACAAATTTTCTTTTAACTGTTTATTTATCTTTTGATTGTTATATATATATATATATATATATATATATATGTTCAGTAAAAAATATATCTTTTATTTTGTTTTATTTTTATTTTTTACTTCTTTTTTGAGATAAAGATAGGAATAATTAAATTAAATATTAAATTATATTATATCATATTATTTATAATATTTAATATTTTATTATAAATTATAAATATTAATATATTAATTAAATTTTATTAAATATATTTATATAGTATATAAAATTTATTATTTAAATGTATATTAATATAAATATATATTATTTTTCTTTTCTTTTTATTACAATTTCTTATTGATCAATAAGAAAGATCATTATGTTATTTAAATATAAATTATATTATATTATATTTTATATAAAATTAATATTTTATATTATATTAATAATTAAATTAAATATATAATTATATAATATTGAATATATTTAATAATAAATATATAACATAAATAATTTAACATTAAATATTTATTATATAATATTTTAAATATATTTTATATTATATTATATAATATTAAAATATATAAATAATAAAATCCTCTTCCACATTATAAATAACAAACAAGTGTATATGTTACTCTTTTATATAATTATATAATAAATATAATTTATGTACTCTATGATATTTGGAAATGATAATTTTATGACAGTACATGACATTATTGGCATACTGATCGCAATTATACGAATATTGTCAAGATCAAGATCGTTGGAAAGAACTTGATACGTTACCTAATACATGTATTCACTCACATTAAAGTAGTAACTAAAGAAGGTAATGAAGTGTTAAGAGAAAATCGAGTATTTTGATTTATGAAATATCATTGATAATCGACCATGACAAATGAGATTAAGGTTTCACTTTTTAAATGATTAAAAAAAAAAAAAAGAAAACAATGTATTATCAAACTATGTATTCAAACGATGCTTGTGAATATTTTTTGTTTAAATTAACAAACTTTTTTTTTGTTCATAATTTTGCGACAAGTTATGTCTCACGAACATTTTTTAATGATAAATTTTTTGTTTAATTAAGGAACTCTACCAAACACACACACATGCACACTTTTACCGAATAAAGATAGAATATTTAATTGGTCACGCTACTGGTTTGTCTATGCACAAAATGTACACTTTAATGGCATCGATTTACAACTAAATAAGCACTAACAAAATAATCGGTTCGTTAAACATTCCACTCGAAGATAGTAAGAAAGAAGTTTTCATATGACACGCGATATTCTCGTTTAAAACGTACAAATCTGTTTGAATGGTAGTTTACATTTTGATTATCATCATGATCATGATTAACAAAAAAAATAAAAATCAAATAAATAAACGAGTAAAGAAAAGGAAGCATGTGTAATGTTCCGTTATTAAAAGATTCACAATTTTTAATGTTTTTTTCTTTTTTCCTTTCAATTCACTTTTTTTCTTCTAGAAGTTTAATTTAAAAAAAAAAACCACCGTTCTAATGAAGAAAAACAAATGTTGGAAACGAAAGAAAAGATTGACAAATAAGAAATTGTAATAAAAAGAAAACAAAAATAATATATATTTATATGAATATATTATACATTTAAATAATAAATTTTATATAATATATAAATATATTTTTAATAAAATTTAATTAATATATTAATATTTATAATTTATAATATATTAATTTATAAATTAATTTTAAATAATATAATATTAATTATATTATATAATATTAATACTAATTAAATATATTGTATTATTAATATAATTACTATTATATTAATTATATTATTATATACCACACACAGGCATATAATAATTATATTATATTATATGTATAATATATATATAATATTAATATAAATTTTATTATATTATATAATATTAAAATAAATATCAATACTAATAATATATATATATATATATATATAATCAAATAAAAAAAAATATTTGTAAATTGTAAGATAACTAAAGATAAATAGATATAGGTGTAATATAAGATCGCAGATTGATCGTACCTGTTGAACTATCGGATTCTACTACGCGGTACGACGGTTCGTATAGAACTGCAGTTTTAACTAACAGTAAGAAAGAATCTTTTCTTTTCCCATGATTGGATACACGTGTTTACTCGTCCTATCCTCACGCAGTAGTATAACTCTTCTTAGCAAGATGCGTTAACTATCTTCGGGATTAATCATTGACGTATGTAAATGAGTTAGGATAGCAACAACTAGAAGGTAGGATCTAACACCACGGATATACGTACACTCTTATTTTTTTTTTCTTGTACGATGATTATCGTTACGTCATCGGTGGATTTCGTTTCTTTCAATATCATACGTGGAAAAAAAAGGAATTTTATTTTTCGATCATGACAATATTTATGATAAACGGATATCATAATGTATCTTTAACGTAAGATAAGGATGTTACTTTTTTTTTTCATATCCGCATCAATAATTATTGACGTACCTTTCAAAACGGAACTAAACAACAACGTTAATAACGTTTACTAATGCTAACGATGAGAAAATTCTTTAATTGTATAAGTATGATCAAAGTTTATTTAATCAAAATAAACGATAACGTTAAATGTTCATTTTTTTCTATTTTTGGATTTATCTAATTATTAAGTAATATAATAATACATTTATAATTATATTTGTATCAATTTACGTATACTAATATTTATATTATATTATATATTAATATTTGTATATTATATAATAATATTTTAAAATAAAAAATATAATAAAATATAGTAAAAATAATATAAATATTATTATTATATAATATAATAAAATAGGATAAAAAATTATATAATTAATATTCTATAATATTTATTATATAACTTTTAATAATTTTTTTTATTATTATTTAATATGATATAATTTAATATATAATTTATAAATTTCTTTTTATATTATTATATTATTTATATTATATTATTTTATACTTTATTGAAAATATATAATATAATAAATATTATCTTATATAAAATATAATAATAACATATTATATTATTTTCTTATATTTTATATTATTTATATTATTATTTTATACATATAATTTTTCTTTTTAAATACTAAATGAATGTTAATTTACCTTGGAATTGAATAATCAAAGATGCTTCTACTCCTTATTAAAAATAATACGAATAATTATAAAAATAAGAAATGAAAGTTTAATACACAATAAAATTTCGTTTATGTAAATTTGAATGAAAGAAAAACAAAAATAAAAAAATTTTTAAAAATGACATTACTTGCGTCGTTGATCATTCGTAAGGGGCCTCTAGGCAATCTGGTGCAATTGCATCGGTGCAACGACGCGTCCTGCGAGTATACTATCGGGACTGTGCGAAAGGAAAGGAACTTTTTCTTCTTTTTTTTTTTTTTTTAGAAATATTGCATCGCTAGTAAAAAGGCTGCACACAGCGGTTAACTTGAAAAGGAGACACTAAACTCGTTTGTGGGCGTTTTATGATGACTAGGTTAGTATCTCCGTTCGCTATACTATAATAATGCCGCGTAAGACGGATTTCATTAAATTGACGCATTAAATTGCATCGAACCATAATCGGAATACACAGGGAAACAAACGTTTCTATTTCAAGGATAAAATCACCCATCGATATGGTCATATTTCATTTTTTTTTTTCATTTCTAATCAAATTTGTCCATATTTGTAGATAGAATATTTTATTTTATTTTTTTATTCTAACAACGAATATGGACGTATTATAAATCGTTCATTATTATTCAAGATTAAACAATATAAATTATAATTTAATACAATTTGTATATCACATTTTTACGATTTATTATATTATATATATTAACAAACTCTGATATAATAATATAATAAACTAATATAATAAATTATTAAAAATATATATTATAATTATACTAATATACAATACTAATATATAATAAAGTATTAAATATATATAATATATTTATATATAGTATTTATATATTATATAAATATATATATTTAATTATTAAAATTTAAATAAAATTTAAAAATAAAAATAAAAATTAAAATATTATATTTATGTACAATAAAATTTAATTAAATAATTATGAAGTAACTACACGTAATCTTTAATAAAAAAAAAAAAAATACAACAAATTTATTCCCAAGAGACGTTAAAAATAGAAACAAACAAGTAAAAAATAAAAACGACGAATAAAAGGTGGGATTAGGTCCGATCAATTGTAAGAATTAATTTATCTTCCGTGGTAAAAAGGAAAAGATAATAATCGTGATACTAATCGTCAACATAAAGAAACTCATGTTTGTTTGAATAGAATAATTAAATCTTACGACAGAGAATTTTCCCATGAAATTTGTCTTTTTTAATGCTTTCAATTTACACACACACATACATATGTATAGTAAATCGACCTTCATTTTACAATGTCAATTGCCAAAAAATATACCGTGAGAAAATCATAAATAATAGTAAGGTCACAGAAAAAATATCTAACATGTTTTATGGAGTATTATTCATGGTTATTTGAGTTAGCATTCACGTTCACTCATTCGTCGTAATTGCAACGTTACCGCAATTGAATCATTGAAAACATTCCGTTTAAGGGAACAATCAGGAGAAATAAGGAAACAAAAATTTCAGATATTTATTTCATTTTCTTTCTTATTTTTTATTTTATTTTCTTTTATTTTCTTTTCTCTCCCGAGAGTTCTACGCAAAGTTTCACTTGTAATATTTCTTTTTCAATGTCTTCCGGATTCTCTTTCATTCGATTCCCAATTAAAGAATTCATTTCTTTTTATTTTTTACCTTTTCAATATAAATCTCACGCAAATGTGAACGTCATCAACGAATTAATTACGTCAACGAGAATGTAATTATTTCTTTTTTTCTTTAAACAACCATTCTGCGAATAGATATTAACAAACAAAAGTAGACTTATTGAATTTTAAATATTTTTTATAATATTATATATCATAAGAAATATAATATTATTATAATATAATATTAATTTAATTATAATATATTATAATATTATAGTATATATATATAATATTATATAATATATATATATAATATTATAACATTATATATATATATAAATATAATCTTTACTTATTTAATCGTAAACTTAACTTAAAATAACTATAATTAGAATATAATTTATAATTTATAAAATTTAATATATAATATTATAATATTATAATTTATAATTTAAAATTAATAAATATTAATTATAATATATTATAATTAATATAATATTATTATAATATATTATATATTTTTATATATAATATATTTTTTATATTATTTATTTATATTATATATATATATATATATATTTTTGTTTTCTTTTTCTTTTTTTTTTTTAAATTACAAGAAATTGTTCCAAATAAATACTCGATTACCTGTGAACCACTTGTTTTGAACAGTTAACTTCTCTCAATGGAACAAGTTGTTTGTTTAGTGTATACGAAAGTACTTGACAGAAGAGAGAGTTTATTTGCATTCGATAATAAGTTGAAACAGTTCTTTCTTTGGAACAGGATCTTGATTGGTGAAATAAATAATAACGATCGTGGTTAAGGTGTTGGTGTATCCCTTTCTTATTCTTTTCCTTCTTCCTCTTCTTTTTCTAAAGTCGACATTTTTAGAAAGTAAAGTCTAATCATAAATGAAAAAACGAACAAAACAAAACAAAAAGAACTTTCGTAAAAAATAAATTAAAAAATAAATTTCCAATGAACGAATAGTATATAATAATACAATCCAATCTAAATCAAATATTATTATGTAATACTTAATTTAATTTTGATCATTTTCGAACGTGGGCTGAGGAGACAAATGAATCGATATTGAAATTAAAACTGAAAGTTGAATTATATTAATAATTTATAAGAATATATATAACATGATAAATTAAAATATTCAAGATTAAATAATAAACTAGGGCATCTAGTTTTAGAAATCAATATAATGATGTATGTAAAACGTTATTTTAACATGATTTAAAAAAAAAAGTGACACATAGATAAAGATAAATAATAAGACGAGGAAGTATTGACAATGAAAAATATGTATGTGTTCCCATGATCTAATTTTGTAAAGTTATATTCTAATTTTTTATTTGTTTGTTTTTTTGATTTGAGTTACGTCACAAAAGTTAAAAGTAGTTGCCTAAAGGGACAACGTTAAAAGCCTTGAAGCAAAATGCTTTCCCTTATATCAACTCGTTATTCGCATAAACGCAGATCGAGATGAAATATTTCGATTTATCAACTTCCAATTCTAACGTATCAATTATAATATAATTATAATAAATAATTACGAATTTAAATGTAACACGAGTTCCGCATTTTTAGGATAAAAATTATATTTTAACTTCTTCAATGAACAATATATATATACACAAGGATATATATCAAGAATCAAGGATTATTATTATTAAGATAAAACGTATATCGTATATATATATAAAATTAATGTCGAAGGATAACACCCTCACCTGACCCCGCATTGTCAAGGTCCTTTCGATGAACGATGGTTCACTCGTTAATGACGTAACCTAACTGGAATCTTTGCAAGAAAGATTATTTTTAACACTAACACACTATTTACTTCTATACTCAATTCTTCTCTGCCTTTCGATATTATATATATATAATTTAATTTTTATATAATTTTATAATAATATAATTTAATTATCAATATTATATTATATTATCAATATTTAATTTAATTATCATAAATTTATACAATTTAATTATTATATATTTATATAATTTAAATACTAATTTCAATATTTGTAATTTAATTATTATTATTATTATTATTATTATTATTATTATTATTATTATTATATATTGGAATATAAAAGAAGGATGTTGCACATATTTGGTCGAATGGAAATCGTAAATCGACGAAGAAACGAACATATTCTCGTTTGAAATGATTTTACGTAAGAACTGGTGGTGGTGATCCACCATTAAAAGCATTTCACGCGTGCACACGCTTTTGGGTGTGACCTACACGCGTGTAAAGTCCTGTCGACGACCAGCTTCTTTCATTTATGTCCAGAGACCAAGAGACTTTTGCCTTGTTGCTTTCTCCGCAAAGTATTACGTCACGATTCTTCCGATTTCAAAGTATTTTTATCTCTTTTTTTTTTTTTTTAATTTTTTTTTCTTTTCTTCCTT